CTATTATCTATTCTGAGAGGGAGGCGGGTGCCCAGTTGTGGAGGGTCTCCTAGGTCATATTAAGGATTTCATTATTTTTCCTTATGAAAGAGTTTAGGCAGGGGGGTCTCAGAATTTAATTTGGGTTTTGAAAGATTACTTCAACTGCTGGATTGAGGATAAATTCAAGGTGAATGAGAGTGGACTAGGGAGACCACTTGTTCTCAGAATAAATATTAATTGAATATGTGGAAGTATACACACACACACATATATAACTATCAGACTATAATCTACCTATTAAATATGTGCACATTACACATGCAGTTGTCTTGTACCCCAAAGGAGCTCTAGCAGCACAGAGGGCCAGCTCAGCCTGCCCTCGTGGTACAGTCAGACTTACCTTCTTCCCACCCTCAGGCAGGAATTGTGTTTGGCCCTTGTGGTGGACAGCTTCCTTCTTGGGCTGTGTCCTTCTGGTGGGTAAGCTGCTCACTAGCCTGTCCCACTCCAGACCCTGCAGGAATCAGGCTAACCCTGATGAGGGCACAAGTGCACTAGTAGCTCAAGTGCCCGCGGCCATATGGGAAACAGCTGGGAAGGCACCCCTTTGCTTCTCTCCAGCATCAGCGGTGACGCTGCTTCTCCCTGTCTGACCTTGGTTTACGGTGCAGTTTCTGAGGGCTCCTCTGCCCTGACATGGCCTGCGAGGCCCACAGGAGCCTGGGATGCATCAGCAGAAAGCACTAGTTCTGGCTTTGTCTTCCCAAGTAAGAAGAAACAGGGCAAATCCACACCTTCACAATTTGCACAGACCAGCAGAGGAATTAAAGCACACACAATCCACCAAATGTGACAGTAAAATGCTGTCACAGGTTTTCAATTTGCGAGGATAGCTGTTTCATAGAATGAAGGAAATTTTCATTTTCCTGAGTATGTGCTGCCTTCCGAAGGTGAAAGAAGCAGATGGCCTTGTTTATCATCATCATCATGAAACATGGGCATTTTTCTGAGTCCCCCTGCTCTGCAGACCATGCTTTGAAGTGCTTGACAATATGCCCTGGTCTCACTGCCCATCTCTCCAGGGCTCAGCTTGTTGTTGCCTGGCCAGGCTGTCCTTGAACTTCACACAGGTGCTTGTCCAGGTGGTTCTTAGCCACAGGCATTTCCATTTGATGCCTTGCTGGGCTCTGATGGCCCAAGGAGCTCCTGCCTGGTTTGTTTAGGGTTCTGGTGTTTGCCTATCTTTGACAACAAGTATTCTTATGTATACCATGGAATATTATACAGCCATGAGAAAGGACATCCTGCCATTTGTGACAACACGGATGGGCCTAGAGGGCATTATGTTAAGTGAGATAAGTAACAGAAAGACAAACACTGTGTGAGCTCCCTTATATGTGGAATCTAAAAAAGCCAAACTCATAGAAACAAAGAGTAGGATGGTGATCACCAGAGCCTGGGGGCAGGGGAATTGGGAAGGTGCTGGTTAGAGGGTACAAACCTGTGGTTACAAGATGAGTAAATTCTAGAGATTTAATGTGTGGCATAATGATTATAGTCAACAATGCTGTATTATATATGTCAAAACTGTTTAGAGACTAGATCTTAAATGTTCTCACCACAGAAGGAATGATAATTACATGACATGACAGGAGTGTTGCCTAACACTCTAACACTCTGGTGGTAATCACATTGCAATATATAAATGTATCAAACCCACAAGTTGACACCTCAGATTTACATATTGTTATATGTCAATTATATAGCAACCAAAAAGAGCATTTCTTAGCTACATGCCAAACACATACATCAGCCTTTGATCATGTAAGCTTTCAGCTTAAACCTCTCAACTTAATAAAACTAGGGTATAAGTCAAATATTAAGTCAATTAGCAAACGATCAGGCACTATTATCTATTCTGAGAGGGAGGCGGGTGCCCAGTTGTGGAGGGTCTCCTAGGTCATATTAAGGATTTCATTATTTTTCCTTATGAAAGAGTTTAGGCAGGGGGGTCTCAGAATTTAATTTGGGTTTTGAAAGATTACTTCAACTGCTGGATTGAGGATAAATTCAAGGTGAATGAGAGTGGACTAGGGAGACCACTTGTTCTCAGAATAAATATTAATTGAATATGTGGAAGTATACACACACACACATATATAACTATCAGACTATAATCTACCTATTAAATATGTGCACATTACACATGCAGTTGTCTTGTACCCCAAAGGAGCTCTAGCAGCACAGAGGGCCAGCTCAGCCTGCCCTCGTGGTACAGTCAGACTTACCTTCTTCCCACCCTCAGGCAGGAATTGTGTTTGGCCCTTGTGGTGGACAGCTTCCTTCTTGGGCTGTGTCCTTCTGGTGGGTAAGCTGCTCACTAGCCTGTCCCACTCCAGACCCTGCAGGAATCAGGCTAACCCTGATGAGGGCACAAGTGCACTAGTAGCTCAAGTGCCCGCGGCCATATGGGAAACAGCTGGGAAGGCACCCCTTTGCTTCTCTCCAGCATCAGCGGTGACGCTGCTTCTCCCTGTCTGACCTTGGTTTACGGTGCAGTTTCTGAGGGCTCCTCTGCCCTGACATGGCCTGCGAGGCCCACAGGAGCCTGGGATGCATCAGCAGAAAGCACTAGTTCTGGCTTTGTCTTCCCAAGTAAGAAGAAACAGGGCAAATCCACACCTTCACAATTTGCACAGACCAGCAGAGGAATTAAAGCACACACAATCCACCAAATGTGACAGTAAAATGCTGTCACAGGTTTTCAATTTGCGAGGATAGCTGTTTCATAGAATGAAGGAAATTTTCATTTTCCTGAGTATGTGCTGCCTTCCGAAGGTGAAAGAAGCAGATGGCCTTGTTTATCATCATCATCATGAAACATGGGCATTTTTCTGAGTCCCCCTGCTCTGCAGACCATGCTTTGAAGTGCTTGACAATATGCCCTGGTCTCACTGCCCATCTCTCCAGGGCTCAGCTTGTTGTTGCCTGGCCAGGCTGTCCTTGAACTTCACACAGGTGCTTGTCCAGGTGGTTCTTAGCCACAGGCATTTCCATTTGATGCCTTGCTGGGCTCTGATGGCCCAAGGAGCTCCTGCCTGGTTTGTTTAGGGTTCTGGTGTTTGCCTATCTTTGACAACAAGTCTCTGTGCTCAACATTACCGAGATTCTGGAGGCAAAACTTAAAATGTAATGCTGAACTTGGAATGTGAACCTGACACAGATGAATCACCTGGGCTTAAGCTGCTCCTGGGAACTAGTAGCCCATGGGGAGGAAACAAGCCCCGTTACCTTTAGCTACCTCCAGCGACTGGTAACCTTTGTGCTTTGATGCTTACTAAGGCTAACTTTAATTTTGTAGGTATTTAAGTTATATTTTAATGCTTTGGAAGTTTAAACAATGTGAAGGAGAGCAGTTCTGAGTGGCAGAGTCACATGAGGAGTTGGACATGGGTGTACCTGTGGGCGGTGGCCCATTCCTCCTCTTCCAGGTGTGCCTCTACAGGTGTGCCAAGATACCCATGCCCTCAGCCCTGGGGTGGTGTGTGGGGCCTGGGGTCACCTTTGGCCAAAATCTGCCTCATCAACTCACCCTGGCACGCTGCCCAGAGAGCTGCACCTCCTCCATGTGGCCTGCCATGAAGACAGGTCACACACAGGGCTCCAGGCTGAGCAGGTAAACGTGGCCAGTTCCCATGATCAGGACCTCTCCATGCCCCCAGCCGAGTGATGACCCCTCTAAGCTGGATTTCCCATCCCTCCCTCCAAGCTTTCAGCTCCTGCTGGCATCTGCCTGGGACCTTCCAGTAGGCAATTCCCTCCACATGCCGAGTGCTGAGCAGCTTGGATCACTGCCCCACCATTCTGTCTGTGTCTCCAAGAACAGGTGTGCTCTGAGTTCTGGGATCCACATGCTTCAGCACAACAACTGCTTTTCAGGTGCTAGAATTCAGAACACCTCAGACGTTTAGAAAGGTAACTTGGGAATATGTTTCTAGTAACAGCAAGCTTGACTGGCCCAGACTATTCCATGAAAAAGGAAACATTCCTTTTCCTGGCTTCTTGCCATACCTGATAGGGAATTGGGTCAGCTGGACTGTCTCCAGCCCAGTGGAACCTCTCACTGTCAGCATCCTAAGGGTAAGTAACAGGGTCTTATCCAGGCTGCATTTACAGCAAATTCTTGCTTTATCACCACCCCACCCCTCCAAAGTACCAATAAATTTGTTTGCTTAATATGTTTTTCATGCTTTGTATAAAGAACAATATAAGTTTGGAACCAGGATAAATCTTAGCCAAGTTCCTAAAGCACCACTGGGTGAATTGAGCCAGTCCCTGGGGGTTAGGGACTCACCCCAGGCCACCTATGCATTTGCTATTCCCCGGGGGTGTCCCTCTCATGCAGCCCCACACAAGCTTAGCACAAACATCTCCCTGGCAGGATTTGTAAATTCTTCGAAATATAAAATTTAAGTCTGTCTTCACTACCTAGTTAGTCCCATTTGTGTTTAAGTATCTTTTCTTTAGAGAGTTTTTGAGACAGTGTATTAAAGGATTTTGGATCTTTATTGCAAACATCTCTGCAGGGGTGGGGGAAGAAATCAATTTGAAAAACAATAGACTCTAGGCTGTGTTTGCCATGCAGACAAACTGCTGGCTCTTCCTTCACCAGCCTCCCCTGCACCCCCTGTCCTTTCCCATAACTGCGATTTGTCCACCCCATATTTTACAAGACACTGCAAATATTTCCCTTTCCCAGTAACCATATGAGGTAGCAATTATTATTCCCATTTTACCGATGAGGAAACTAAGGCTCTCAATGGTTAAGTAACTTTCCCCAAATCACAGAGCTTTGTGAATGGTGGAATTCTATCTATCTGTTTCCACTTCAGGTTGGTGAAGACATCCCTTTGCACCTCAGCACTCTGTTAAAGTCACAGGCCCAGGGACGCCCCCATCCCATCACCTCTCTGCTTTATGCAGAGGACCTGAGTGGGTCACACCAAACCCTTGCCCACCTGCAGAACTCTCCTTCTGATTCTGGCAGCAGGAGTGAGGCCATGGGGTTCTTCATGAGGTCAGCCACTGCAGGGTCTTTGGGTGTGATGCAGAAGAAAGGAATCCCCATGCTGTGTTCAAGGGGCCATCACTGATGGGCAGGCAGTTCCCAAATGGCAGCCTGGGGATCTAACAAACAACGAAAAGGCTTTTTCAGTGCTGTGGATTGACCTGAGCTGCAGCTGAGCTTGTGTTTCTGGCCAGGAAATACAGAAATGAAGGAAGCATGGCGTCACCATGGTTTTGAGAGGTAGTAAATCAAGGCACAGTGGTCCCCAACTGACCCCATTCATCCATGGTTGGCTCTGGAATTTCTATAGAGGAACTAAGCAGTGGCATTTTACTTGGAATTGATGGTTGGGGAATTACTCTTAAAGCTGCATTTACACAGAAAACACCCATTTTGTTAAATTTAATATTACTTTGGCAAGAGGTGCTAAAATATTTCCTACACACTGCTTCTGGGAGCCCTTCTGCCTTTACTGACTCTCTCAAGTTTTTAGAAACCTTGGGAATAGACTTTAAGTCTTAAATATCTTCATGGTCTTGGGATTCCAGAAACTTTCTATTACTGTTTCTTTTAGAGCCACACTACTTTCTCAATCATTAGTCACATTTTTAACTGCAATCAATATTTCATTATATATAATTCAGAAACTTATGGGAAACTGGCTTCTTACCCTCTTTTAGCTTAAAGGAAGTCATAGAGACATGCTATACTAATTTTTGCTCATGATTATCTGGAAGAGCAGATGGAATTCTCAGACATTTACACAAATATTTCTTGGGTTTTCCCAAGTCCGGCTGGGTCCAGCCCCAGCCTCCATGAGCTTTAACCTTCACACTTTCTGCATTATTAATGAACTCAGAACTCTGCGTGTCTTTTAAGTATTGCATGACAATGGTGTGTAGAATGGTAATAAGGGAAGGCTTTAATCTTTTAAGAAAACACAATGCTAAGGAGTACTCCAAAAAGCAATATAAGTTCGGTCGCAGATTGTCAGCTTGTCATAAACAGCCCCGAGTCATGCTCTGCACACATGATGTGCATGTGATAAATGTTCTCTGAATTTATTGAATTTGGATTGTTAATATTGGAAAGGAGAACTCCTAACAGAGAGATATCAAAAGTCAAAATATCTTTAGTACACTAGCACTAGACTTTCAATTGCTTGGGATGACCTGTGTTTTATGCCAAGATTGGCTTCATATTTAAGCTTCACATCTTAAGGTGTGTCTTAGGAAGATAATATATAACTGAGAAACCATTTGGATGCTGTGAAAGAGGTTAAGATCATTGCCATAATCAGAATAAAGTTGTCATGTAGATCATTTTTTAAGCAAAAAAAAAAGACCTTCAGAACTACCTAGTCAACCATTTAATTTCATAGTTGAGGAAAACAAGTGGAGAACCCAGTGAGGGCCAGTCTTGGAGCCACTGAGACTCACAACTGGGGTGTGAAGCTGCCCCCTGGCCAATGACCTATACATTCCATAAAATACTATAATTATTTTGCATGAATTAAATAGAAAATCAAATGATTGCTTTGTAACAAAACTCTCACATTGATCTTAACAGCCCTAAAGTCTCGCTAGCGTGCATATACTTATGGATGTTACATCTTCCCAATTACTTATGTCATTTCGGCTTAAGGTGGAATCATGTCTAACAGGTGTGAAACATTTGTGAACTGAACGATAAAAACTGCAGCTGGTAACAGCTCGTTCCACACTTTGCACAGTAAGCCTCTTTTGCAGAAAAACTCCTCAGTTCCATTTTCTTAAATGTAGATTTCCACCAAAGTCCTAGCGGCATCTTTCTCCGGTCCTGGCCTGAACTCAGCGTCAATAGGTGCCCAGGAAGCTCCGGTCTCTGGGCAGTACAATCATTAGTCACATTTTTAACTGCAATCAATATTTCATTATATATAATTCAGAAACTTATGGGAAACTGGCTTCTTACCCTCTTTTAGCTTAAAGGAAGTCATAGAGACATGCTATACTAATTTTTGCTCATGATTATCTGGAAGAGCAGATGGAATTCTCAGACATTTACACAAATATTTCTTGGGTTTTCCCAAGTCCGGCTGGGTCCAGCCCCAGCCTCCATGAGCTTTAACCTTCACACTTTCTGCATTATTAATGAACTCAGAACTCTGCGTGTCTTTTAAGTATTGCATGACAATGGTGTGTAGAATGGTAATAAGGGAAGGCTTTAATCTTTTAAGAAAACACAATGCTAAGGAGTACTCCAAAAAGCAATATAAGTTCGGTCGCAGATTGTCAGCTTGTCATAAACAGCCCCGAGTCATGCTCTGCACACATGATGTGCATGTGATAAATGTTCTCTGAATTTATTGAATTTGGATTGTTAATATTGGAAAGGAGAACTCCTAACAGAGAGATATCAAAAGTCAAAATATCTTTAGTACACTAGCACTAGACTTTCAATTGCTTGGGATGACCTGTGTTTTATGCCAAGATTGGCTTCATATTTAAGCTTCACATCTTAAGGTGTGTCTTAGGAAGATAATATATAACTGAGAAACCATTTGGATGCTGTGAAAGAGGTTAAGATCATTGCCATAATCAGAATAAAGTTGTCATGTAGATCATTTTTTAAGCAAAAAAAAAAGACCTTCAGAACTACCTAGTCAACCATTTAATTTCATAGTTGAGGAAAACAAGTGGAGAACCCAGTGAGGGCCAGTCTTGGAGCCACTGAGACTCACAACTGGGGTGTGAAGCTGCCCCCTGGCCAATGACCTATACATTCCATAAAATACTATAATTATTTTGCATGAATTAAATAGAAAATCAAATGATTGCTTTGTAACAAAACTCTCACATTGATCTTAACAGCCCTAAAGTCTCGCTAGCGTGCATATACTTATGGATGTTACATCTTCCCAATTACTTATGTCATTTCGGCTTAAGGTGGAATCATGTCTAACAGGTGTGAAACATTTGTGAACTGAACGATAAAAACTGCAGCTGGTAACAGCTCGTTCCACACTTTGCACAGTAAGCCTCTTTTGCAGAAAAACTCCTCAGTTCCATTTTCTTAAATGTAGATTTCCACCAAAGTCCTAGCGGCATCTTTCTCCGGTCCTGGCCTGAACTCAGCGTCAATAGGTGCCCAGGAAGCTCCGGTCTCTGGGCAGTGGGGGGGCCGGAAGGGGTTGCTCGCACCCACTCTGTGATGCCAAAGGTGGCCCGGGCTTTGGTCCAGATCTCTGGAAAGGCGCAGGTTATCCGAACGTCCCTTTGATCATCTGAAGACTGCGCTTCGGGACTCATGTATCTACCTGGCAGGAAGCCTGGTTGTCAGCCCCCACGCTCCAACACTTTGCCAGCTAACTGAGGCACAATCTGGCTCCGTTCTTACCCGGTGTCCACAGCCAATCCAGCCCACCGCGCACGTATGTGAGATCTGGATCCGAGTACGAGTAGGTGGTCGCTAGCCTCTCCCTGTCCTCGGGGCGCGTCAGGCCACCGCGAGGCCACCGCCAGGCGTGCACCTGCGCCCGGCTCCCAGATGGGGCGCTTACCTTCTCGTGGGCGGACACGGGGGCCAGACAGCCCCAGGCGCTGGCGTGGGCCAGGAAGCGGGCGGTGCCGGGGCGCAGCCACAGGCCGCTGTCGCACAGGTGGGAGAACATCCCCGGCGGCGTGGGACGCGGCCTGGCGCGGGCAGCACCCGCTGGGGGCGGCGGGTGTGCGGCCTCCTTGTGCGCCGAGTCCGGGAAGCTCTGCTGCCAGATGCCGCCCGCGTCCTCCAGCAGCGCGGGCAGCGCCTCCTCGGTGGAGGCGCTGTCCAGGTCCTCGTCCACCTCGTTGGTGACTGCCCAGGACACGGAGCTCACGATCACGTATCCCGCGGCCGGGGACAGCAGCGCGCTGCAGCACAGCAGCCAGGAGAGGCGGGCCCCGGGTCGCGCCGGCCGCCGGCCACGGCGCACAGGCATCTTGCAGGCGGCGCGCGCGGCCCCGGGGACCACCAGCTGAGCGCGGCGGCCGACGAGGCGGCAGCGCCCCCCTGCGGCCGACGCTTGGAGCGGGCCCAAATTTCCGACCGCTTGGGTGCTGTCCCTATCCCGGGGACGTCCTGGCAGCTCACGCCGCCGAGAAGCCGAGGCTCCTCAAAGACCCGGTTCCACTCAAATGCGGCACGTCCTGCAGCCGCCGTGTGTACAGTCCTCACCGCCGTGTGTCAGGTCCGGGTGGGCTTGTGTCCAGATGGTGGGGCAGGTTCTGCCGCCATAAGGTGGGCGTTCAGATCCCGGCTCAATACGTGCCTCCAATCACCAGCTATGTGACCCCACCAAATTACTTAACCTCTCTGTGTGCCAGTACCCTTCATTGGGCAACGAAGAAAACAGTATCTAACTCATAGGAGTGGTGGATGGGAGGACTGAATGAGTTAATATTTGGAGAGGCTTAGCACAGCGCATGGCATGGAGTAAGACAAAGCCTTTTATTTTGATAATAGACAAAGGTGGGGATTGTTAATCATTATTTTAGAGTAGGAAACTGAGGAAACGGTGAAGATAAGGTTAGCACCAGGTTCGTCTGATGGCAAAGCCCATTCTCTTGCTCTGTAAAGACAGGGAGCGTCTTGCACTTTGCTAGGGCAGGAGGACATTGATTGCAGCCATTTCATCTGAAAGCAGAATTAAGTTTTTATGTATAAACTCTTGTAAACAGGGAATATGCCCCAGGATGCAGCGGCAGAGAATTGTGAGAATGTACCTCAATTTTAAAGCATTCTTCTATTGATGGGAGTTTGGTTTGTTTCCAATAGTAGAGTTTTATAGCTATCAACATAATTTAAGGTTACTTACACATTTAAACTTCTGCATATGGTATCCATAGCTGGCCTACTAGGCTAGGGGACATTTTAGGCACCATATTTTCTACCTAGAAAGTAACAGTCCTGCTTCAGATCAGTTATGGATGAAAGTAAAGTGAATGAGCCCAAAGATTTTTAAAGATATTTTGGCAAATGTTAACTTTTGCAGTAACCAGAGGATCCACTGGTGCCCCCACTCCACCCACCTCCTCCCTTGCCTTCCATTCAAAGCCATTTTTCCTAAGAAAGTCTACTTCATCTCAACGCACTCCTAGCTGGCCTCCATCCCACCCCAACCGCCTTTCCAGGATGAGCCTTTTTCTTACTGGAGCCCCCTGCAGCCTTCAATGTAGCGGCCCCCTCCAGGATTCTCGCCTTACTATCTACACGCTTTCTATCTTCCGCAATGGTCCCTGTGTGAGAAAGCTGGAGAACTGTAACCAGATTCTACAATAGCAACAAAGGATATATGAAGAGACATGCTAAGCACCCACCTGTAGCTCTGCCTGTACCCCAGCAGGTGACAAATATTAAGCAATATAAATTGCCAGGGGGACACAAGAAAATTGGAGGAACTCTACAAGAGTTGGAGAGGGTGGGCATCATAGAGCCCACTCATAGTCCTTTTAATTCCCCAGTGTGGCCAGTGAGAAAGCCAGATGGCTCCTGGCGTATGACTGTAGACTACAGGGAACTGAATAAAGCCACACCCTCTTTGCATGCTGCAGTCCCCTCTATAGCAGACGTTCTGGACACCCTCAGCCATGAACTGAGAATGTATCATTATGTAGTAGACCTCGCTAATGCTTTCTTCTCTGTTGACATAGCAGAGGAAAGTCAGGAACAGTTTGCCTTCATGTGGGAAGGCCAGCAGTGGACATTCACTGTCCTTCCACAGGGATACCTCCACAGTCCCATCATTTGTGAAGTTACCAATTTCTTACCTTTTAATAATGCTGTATTTCAGCTTTGGTCCTCCAACTTATATTTAGCCTTAGGTTTTAGGATTGGCACCCACTAGGAACCAAAGATTTTAAGTAACAAACCTGAATCTCTTTTTTCCCCCATTTGCTTATTTAACTATAAATTTCTCAGAAAATAAAGAATAAAAATAAAGCATATGTATTATACAGAAGTCACCTGTATTTCCCTTCATATCAGTTTGAAGAAGCTCTTTGTGTATTACAAATATCGTTTCATATTTTTCAGGTATCTTATACATTTAAATTTTTTATTTTATTATTCTTATGAATTTAGAGAAATTTACATCTTATTTTGCATACTTGCAATAAAAACTGCAAGAATAAAATAATCTTCCCATGTTTTCTTCTGTCTGCTACTTCTGTAGCTTTTCTTCTTCCTTCCTAATTACAACCCTTTAGTAGAATTCGTGCCACATATGGAAAATTACTGAGTATCATAATTCTTCCAAGTGGTAAAGATACCTCAAGACAAATGCTGGGCATAGAAGCCACAGGGGATAAATCTGCAAAGAAGTAAAAAGCTAACCTTTTCAAAGAATACTGCTTCTCTCTCATTTACCAACTTTACATTTCCCTGTATGGCCCCAGAAGATGACTGGTTAGCCAGGGACGGGTAAGATTCCTCAAGGGAGGAACAACCTAAGACAGGCACAGTCACAGGGGGGCCATCAGGTGAGAAATTGGGGATCAACAGAGGTGAGGCTTAGAACCTCACTCCCCACCTCCACGTTCTGAGAGAAATCTTCTGCATCCATGAATGTTTTTTTGCCCTTGTCTAGCTTGGATTAATACTTAGTCTATAGGCACAGACCTGATCATCTACATTTGCCCTCTTACAGCACTAAATTATGTTTTCTACCTTTATCTTGCATCTACCTACCACTTCAGTGTTTTATTAAAATAATAATAATAAGGAATGAAATGTGGGAGTCACATATAAATCAAGTATAAAAATCAAATGAATAATCATATCTGACTTGTTCATAGTTCATGATGCGTGATCAAAACTGAAAGTTTCTGTGATGACTGCCCTTGCACTGTTCACCATGTAAGAACTTATTCACTATGTAAGAACTTGTTCACCATGTAAGAACTTGTTTGTTATGCTTCAGAAGATTGGAGACTGTTGAGAATTAGGCTTAGGGTTGATTAATGATTGTGCATTGAGTCCTCTATACAGAATTTTATTGTTGTTAACAACCATTTGATCAATAAATATGAGAGATGCCCTCTCAAAAAAAAAATATGATACCAGGAGAAAAAACACTGTTGATGAATAAAAGCCTTTCAAATTCTAATCCTTTTATCTATTTTCACCATAGTAGGTTTTGAAGAAATTATTTGATTTTTATCAAATATGTTGCTGAAGGTAGGAAGATAATACAGTAAGACCAGTATTGGTTTATACAAGTTTTCAAGTAGGCTTATGTTCTGTGATCTTTGCTATGTTTGTAAAAATCTGGTATATGGGTAGAGAAAAATGTTTTGAAAGAACAGTAAAATGACTCATTATAGTAATTTAATATCCTGATGTGGAAAAGGCCATTTTGCCCTATTATAGGGATGTTGTCAGTGGAATCTGAGAACTCTTCAGTGAAGTAGTGTGATAAAAATACAGACAATCTTATAAATATCCAATTATGTCTTCTAGGCCTTTGTTAAAGCTTCCCACGTCTCAATGGACTCCTGAATATAACAAACCCTATACCTTATCAGTGGATGTGAAGAGGGAGATTCCTCCTGATGCCCAAAGACACAGGAGAGCCTGAAAGGGACCCTTGTGCACCCAGGCCCACCGGGGCAGCCAGAAGGGTTCCTGCAGGAGCTGAGATGATTACTAGTAAAGTAGGGAGAGCATGTTTATTGAGTGCTGGGCATTGTGCTAGTCATAATTTTGAATCGTTACATTATTTCTATGGAGATACCTTGCATGAAGGACTTCACAGTGTATTTTGAAAGAAAGACCTATGATTTCTTTGGTAACTAAAATTTTTGTTGTTTTTTATATTTACTAATTTAATATTGATGTCATTTAAGGTCTCCTTCAACGCTTGGACACTCCAGATACCCCTGGAGCCAAAGTCCAAGCCCCCAGAATAGTTGGCCACAGGAGCCAAGCACCCGCAGCAGGGCTTCCACTGCGATGCAGCGTTTCAGGCTGAATCCAGCAGAGGTTGTGGACCTCACTGCCGACGATGATGAGGATGGTAAACTGGAGTAGCAGCAGTGCACAACTATGAGGAGAATTTGATAAAATGAAATATCTTAATATGTTAGAAACTCCTACTCTTGCTTACTGGTAGTATATTATTAGACTACAAGGAAGTTGTCAAATATCCTAATCTCATTTTTTAATTGATACATAAACTGAGGTTTGCAAATTGTGCCTAAAATGCCTTCTGGTTATTGTTTCACCACTTGGCCGTTATCTTCAATATTTTGTCAAATATTTTGACAAGGGGTAGTTTAATCAATCCTCATACTTTCCTGTTAATTTTATTTGTAATATTATTGTCATACTTTAACTTTGCTATAAAGAACTAAAATGGCATTTTTTTTGAGAGGGCATCTCTCATATTTATTGATCAAATGGTTGTTAACAACAATAAAATTCTGTATAGGGGACTCAAAGCTAAATGTACAATCATTAATCCACCCAAAGCCTAATTCTCGTCAGTCTCCAATCTTCTGAAGCATAACGAACAAGTTCTTACATGGTGAACGAGTTCTTAAATAGTGAATAAGTTCTTACATGGTGAACAGTACAAGGGCAGTCATCACAGAAACTTTCGGTTTTGATCACACATTATGAACTATAAACAACCAGGTCGAATATGAATATTCGTTTGATTTTTGTACTTGATTTATATGTGAATCCCACATTTCTCCCTTATTATTATTATTATTATTGTTATTATTATTATTTTTAATAAAATGCTGAAGTGGTAGGTAGATGCAAGATAAAGGTAGAAAACATAGTTTAGTGCTGTAAGAGAGCAAATTTAGATAATCAGGTGTGTGCCCGTAGACTAAGTGTTAATCCAAGCTAGACAAGGGCAATAAAACATCCACGGATGCAGAAGATTTCTCTCAAAACAGGGGGTGTAAGGTTCTAAGCCTCACCTCTGTTGATCCCCAATTTCTCACCTGATGGCCCCCCTGCGACTGTGCCTGTCTTAGGTTGTTCCTCCCTTGAGGAATCTTACCCGTCTCTGGCTAACCAGTCATCTTCCGGGGCCATACAGGGAAATGTAAAGTTGGTAAGTGAGAGAGAAGCCATATTGTTTGAAAAGGTTAGCTTTTTACTTCTTTGCAGATTTATGCCCTGTGGCTTTTATGCCCAGCA